AAAAAAAAAAAAAAAAAAATCGTGAGGTTGTGTGCTCGTGAGAGGGGCTAGCTGATAAAAAAAAAAAAATCTTCATCATGAGTCCTCGAAGTAAAGAGCAAAGGCAAGAAAAGAAAGGCATGGCCGACAAGAAGATGAAGAACAAACTCGAGAACTTGGGCGTGCGAGTCCGAAACCTAGGCGAAGGGTTCGACACCACCACGACATCGGTGCGGGATTTAATAGAGAACATGAACCGGAGGTTCGACGAGATGGCACGCAACTTCCAACACCGGCAGGCGCGGCCATCACTGTGGCCACATGGGAGCAAACGACCCGTGGAGTACGATCGACATTACACCGAGTACAAACAAGAGGAGGATGTCGAGCAGCAGCCTCAGGCATCAAACATTCATGGCCGCCCACGGCTCGACGAGTGCTTAAGGATTGCGCATCGACCAACCACGAACGATGATCGACCACAACTGCATGAAGCGCGACCACCACCTTACGGGTACGATCGGTCGAGGAGGGAGCACGAGCAAGCTGAGAACAAGCAAGAGGAATCACGAGTAACCGACAAGGCCCAAGGCGAGTCCAAGAGTGAGACGGAGGTCGAACTGGTCGAGCACGATAAGTATGAGGTTGAAATTATGGTCGAAGCGGTCGAGTGTGAGAAACCGCACTCGTTCAACAAAGAGGTTATGAGCGAGGCCGATGGAGTCGAGGACGAGAAGGGCCAGGAAGAGATTACGTTCGAAGTCCTAAAGGTCGAAGAGGAGGCGACGTCCCAACAAACTATCTATGCCAAGAGTAAAGTCATGGTCGAGGAGGACCATGAATGGGATGCGTGCGCGGTTAAAGAAGGAGTGCCCGAAGTTTGGATGCTCTATGATGAGTCCACGAGGACAAGGACATTCTCAAAGGGGGCAGGAATGATGCGGAAGTGGGTTTCGAGCCCCGACGACAAGAAGGTCCAAGAGCCGAGAAGGCTCAAGAAGGCCGAAAAAAGGGCCAAAACTACGCATGGATGGCCTAAACGATGTGCACGAGCCCGTATACGAGGATACCAACATGCACGATGGCATAGGAGGTCGAGCAAGAAGCTCAAGAGATCGAGGCTTGAAGGCTCGGGTGACGCAGTCGACTGGTGCAAGGCGTGCACAAGGGAGCAACGCGCACGATGCTTGGAGGCTAAGGCCTCGGCCGTTTACTTTACG